AACAAGAACAAGCCCAATGAAAACAAGAAGGCTAAGGACAAAATCAAGAAGGAAGTGGAGGCTTCAAGCTTGTAGGACAAGCTAGATCACACGGTCAAGTCCAATGAGCTTTTGGTGATCAAGACATTGGAGGCAAAAAAAGGAGTTGGCCGAGAAGAAGGCTCAAGAGAAGCAAGAGAAGTGGCAACTACTCAAGGAGAAGAGCATGCGCAAGGCCGCCATTGAGGAGAGAAAATCCATGGCCGACGAGAACAAAGCCATGGCAAGCTTCTTGCCGAGGAGAACAAGATCATGATGATGAATCAAAATGAGATGGATGAGGTCACCAAAGAATGACATGCATTGTAAGGTTGGAGATCTTGGAGAGGAGGAGGCTAGCTACAAGAGGCCATGTGGTGCCAAGGTTCGGTGGTGGTTCGGCAAGTGGTGGTGCCAATGGCGGCGGTGAAGATTTCATCTTGTGATGATGAGGATGATGGATGCCTTGTCTTCCGGGTTGTGGCACGAAAACTATGTTCAAATATCGTCAAAAATGTGTTTGAATTCTTAGAATTTGTGTTTTATTTGTCAAAATCATGGTCAATTGCGTTGTGTGGTTTTATGGTTTGAGGGCCGAAATCGGCTACACGCGGAACAAAGCCCGATATTCTCTTTTACCGCTCGAGTTTACGGACTCTGTTGGGCCGCAACCGATTTCAACCCTTAAAACGCGCTTTTCTCTGCCCTTATTCCGGTTATAAAGGGTCTACTAAAGTTGCTCTTGCATTCTTTTGAGAGAAAGGTGTCTATTTTCTACTATACGAAAGAAAAGGAGAGGAATGTGAAATGTGTGATTTAGAAAATGTGTATACCAATGAGAAGGAGAGGAATAAGCTTCGTTGGCTAAGGTCATCTCCAATAATGACCCGTAAATTTCCTACCGCATCGGTCTGCGGACAGAGGTACCAGTCCACAGACACAGATGCGGGAGGCCGCCATCCAACGTTGTCTGCATACATTTCAAACACTTTTAATATAAATCGGACGGAATTCGTGCAAACACAGCGGATTTTCATATAAACCCGACGAGATTCATGCAAACACGCCAAAGTTTCATTACATTTCAACATTTAGAACAAACAAAAGAAACCCTACCCTAAACCTATCCTACGGCGGCGGCCGGCCGTCGTCCAACTTCATTTCTATTCCACGTCGATGTCATATCTACTTTTCCAAACACTTTCACTCTTGTTTTGGACTCTAATTTGCATGATTTGAATTACAAATCCGAACCGATGTTGTTTTCAGTAGAATTGTCTGTCATGGTGTTGTTTTTATGCAAAAATAAAAGTTTTTGAATGGAGCTGAAAATTTACAAAGAATTATTCCAGAATTAATAAAAAAATTGGCGGAAGAAAATACCAAAGGGGGGCCGTCAGGG